TGACAAAAACAGAATTTACTGTTTGAATAATAGCTCAAAGTAGCAGTAGTGACAGCGGTTGTACAAGTGTCGCTAGGATAAGAGACATAAAACTATTGACATATGTAAATGACCTGGAGCCGAAGAATCCATCAGTGACAGTTTGTTCGCTTAGCAGCTACTGCCCGACTAATCATCGTTTCAGTTGCAGTGTAGAAGTGTTGTTTGCATCATAAAAATATTTAATTGAGTGATATGCTAGTTAGAACTTTTAACTAACCCTCGCTTATTTGCGATAACGAAATTATTGTAGTTAACATAATTACGTGTTACGAAGAATTAGCACGAGAATTCTCCACAAGCACAAACGCGCGAAGATTTACATGCGAGTGATACGGTTACATTTTTTTTTGTAAAGGAAGTAAATAAATGCATTTGCGAGCGCATAGCTGCGTACGGAATACTATGCGTTACGATGCCGAAGAATACGCACACCGTTAACGCCACGAAGGTCGTTCGTGCTCACGCACTAACAAACGAAAAGGCAAGTGAACGCATCCACGAAGACCTGCTACGCATTCCTGCACGTCTGTCGTGGACGATCTGTGAGCGAGGAATTCATGCAACGAGTTTATTTTAAAACAAATTAGTAGAATGTTATTAAAGAAAATAATATATGTGTAGCAGAGTAAAAAAATAAAATACAATTTCAGCAATAATTGTCGAAAATAATTAAAAATTTGCTATAGAGCACGCTGCGGATAAAACAAGTTTTAACTCATACTAAATTGAACATTAAGTCAGTGCCAAGTCGATTTAAACGGATAATAGACGGGAGATTCTACAAAAAAAAAAACATCGTAAAACGTTAAATCGTTTTGTTAAATACATATTCGCAGTTACACTGCTGAATGGGAGGTTATCGCCTGCGAAATTTACATGACCCGTTTAGGTTTTAATATTTTAAAAGCGGAGACGAGGTTTGGAAGTCAGTGAAATTCTGAAAAAGCTCCATATTGAAACCATCATTCATGAATATATCCATCTGAATATATTGAATATATATATATTATATATTGAATCCATCATTCATGATGTTGATGCAAGAAAGGCCAGACGTAACTACCGTGCGTGGGCTTCCATATAAACGAAAACAAATGAAAGGATGAGTGTTCTTCATATGAGAAAGAAATGTTTGCAAATCAAGTAATATTGTTTAAATACACTTTATAAATGAATGCTTAAATAAAATAATGTAATTTAGGTACCTTACACTAAATTGAATTCATTCAATAGTGGTATAAATTTCCAGCAAAGAGTACTGAAGAATATTGAATAAAAAGAATTTTAATATTCGATTTCTTTTCGACTTTCATGAAGTGGGGAATGGCAAGTGAGATTTCTGTTTATATTGTTCGATGTCAATGAAGACACATTTTATCATGCATGAATTACTTAGACACCTTTAATTTTGAAATTACAATTCATAGAGTTAAAAAAATGTTATCGCAGAGATTTTATCCAATGCTTCATGATTTGAAGGAGACAAAAGGGCACATCATCAGGGAACGATGATGTGACATCATCATCAGGGAACATCATCAGGGAACGTCTGATGATGAATGATGCAGGGCACATCATTCATCAGCAGGGAACGTTGTGATTCTCTATTCAAACAAGCAAGTTCTTCTCCGAAAATATGTGTTCTTCAGAAAGTAACTGAAAATATTTTAGTTACGACGAGCTTTGAACTGAGTAATCATTGAGTTGAGTCGTTACAGAAAATAACGGGAGCTTTTAGTTGCCATAAAATTTGATTAGTGGAATAATCGATTTGACTTGTCAAACGAAAATGACTTAGCCGTATCCCAACAGGTTTCATTCTCATTGCCCTGTATGTTTTGTACGTTTCATTCTGTATGTTTTGCATTCTCATTGTCAAGATATTAGGTGAACGTTTTAATACAATACGGGACTCTCGATAGTAGTAATTATTATAACGAAAGTATGTGAGGAAATTTTATTAATAACTTCTTCTTCATCAAAAATTTTAATCATTTGAATTGAATTTATTTAGTTATAGGTAAAAGATTGTACAACGAATTACTACAACTTGTATTTTCGGGTGCTAGGAAGTAGCCGACACGTCGTTCAGGTAGAGGGTATTACGTGAGGATTAAAATAACACTAATGTTGTGGGGGAGCGAGCAGAAGGAAGCGCACGCTCCTTTCCTATACAAGCCTAACCCTTAGGCCTAGCAAGAGGCCGCTACTTATCAATCAAGCTATCGCTGCTCTCGAGGCCACATCGCTCATGTACTTAATCTTAGCATCTGACTTTAATTTGATAATTGATAGGTTGTTAATTTGAAGTCATAGTCTTTTGATATTAAGTCATCTTCTCTTGATTTGAAGTCATCAATTGAAATCTATGAATTTTCGACATATAAAATTGGAGTGGCAACCAGAAATATGTACATGCCAGGGCACTTGAAAAGGCCCTCGAAAAAAATCGCGGGAACAAAAAGCGGTCGCTAAAAAAATAAAGGCTTTTGGCAACTACGAGAAAATGATGGATAAACATTTGATCCAGAAAAAAATCGAGGCTTTCGTAGAAAAAATGACCGTAAAATTACATCATATGTCAACGGGAATGGAGTATTCAGTGCAAATTTTGTAACTAGAAGCACATAAAAAACATTTACTGTAATATCGCGATGAAATGCATGACTGACTGCCTTTGGTTACATTGCCTTACTTGGTTTCAGGGCATGATTGGAGGCAATGAAAAAAGCCGCATGCATGACAGCGCACTAGTTATACGATTGATAATATTCTTCATCGACAAGAAAATTATAAATATATTTTCATGCATTACATTGAGTTCGTCTTGGAAATAAAATTAGGTGAGACGGTTGAATCCCTTCCCAGCAGACGACTGGGGGAACATCTGTCTGCGAGGCACAATCGTCTGCTACACCAGTACAGTGATCGTGTGTTCATATTCCAGTCACATAGCATGTCCAGAATTTATAAAATGTCGAGCATTTATTCTAGGATTCGCTTGAAATTCTCACCTCTTCAACTGACAAACGATGAACAGATAAACGATGAATTTACTATCAGCTGAGGACAAGTGAACTTGTTACAGCAGGAGCGCTTTAAGCGACCAACGTTTGCGACCTGATATAGAGATTATTGATCCCGCTTCGCACCGGGTCCTGAACTCTCTTTCTAGTAATTTAAGTAATAAGTTATATTGGGTCGTTCACAGTTCACACTATACTGTGCGATGAAATTTAGGCATCACGTACTACTATGATAATTTATTTAAAATTCATCAGAAGTTCATGAGAAAGTCGTTCAAAGGCTGCGATGGGTAGCTGCGCGCGCACCGAACGCTCGACCTTCCATTCACCACCACTCGTCATGCTGGTTTTCTGCAGACTAACTGAGCCTTCATGGCAGAGCTGGAGAAGGCTGGAGACTCAAATCTACACCACACCCTCCTATGCAGCAACACCTCACGGCCATTGGTTCATGGCCAATTAGGCGACGACTTTTAAAACGATTGAAGTACCTGCACGAATCTGCTTTCATACTACCATTGAATGTATTTTATGATAATTAGTTTCAATTTCACTATCAGACATTTGCAGCAGAGGTGCAACAATAATTATTGGTCCCGAAACAGGCTATCGTATAAATAAATAGTTTTTTCCTTGGGTAACCAATAGACCAGCTACTTGATAGAGCGTGTTTTTCTTAAAGCTTCCTTCACACATTCTAAAAACCAATAGGGGCGATATAAAAGTGAAGTAGCTGTCAACTATTCAGCCCCTTTCAACAAGATAGTATCCAAATAATCATTCGGTAAACCTTGGCTGATGAAACTTAGTAAGCCATGAGCCCATGACCTTTTCCGTGAAACTTATTTCTCGATAAGACTGTAACAGACATTAAATAATTACAATAATCAATTTTTTATACTCTACTTCATCTATGAAAACAGTTTAGTTTATGCTGGAAACAAATTAAGATCGATATCGATCATCTTTCTCTTAGCCCGACATCCACCTGCTTCTGAGAAAAAAATGCTTTGTTTTTAATGTACGACAATCAATAGCAATCACGAATACGATGCGGGCACATAATTTTGGCCACAAAAATAAATATGAGAGAGAAATCAATGTTTGGCTCATAAGCTATGTATTAAGACATTCATGTCTTTACTCAATGAATACCCATAATTTTATGCGTATATCAGCTAAATGAGCAATCAGTTTATTTTTATTTGGATTCCAGTCTGAGTCTACTCATATTCATGATAATGTACGTAAAATGCCAGTCTACAATTCGATTTTAATTATATAGTTCCTATGCATGTAACTCTATGCCTGCAGGTAGATTATTAGTATTTTTTTGTAATAAACAAATAAATCAAATCACGTGGACATTTAATGTCTTTATTGAAAGAATATATGTGTTTAACACTAATATATGAATGCACACGAAAAGAATATGAAAAATCAATAAAAGTTAGGTCGCCACCCTTCCAAGGGTTTACTGAAAGATTGTGATGTGCTTTACTTGTATATGCGGCTATTTCCAAGTCTAATTCAACAATAAACTAAGCAAAAATAACAAACTAAGTTTACAATCGGTAATATTTCAAAGTAGTTCTAAAAAAATAAACGCTCGTGTTAGCGATGATATGACAGTCTTGCAAGAATTTTTGAAGCATGTTATGAATAAGCACCTCAGTATGACTTTTCAAGAAAACGTACTCTAGTATATCCTTGTTAATTGAACGCAATGTATTTTTACATTAAATTGTAATTCCTAAAAAAATGTTTAAATAGGCCTAATTTGTTTGTATTATTCATTCAATTGACCTTGTAAAGAATAAAGATTTCAGTAATGTTCTTGTTAAGAATACGCACCCCAGTCGCGTCTGGAGTGCTTATTCTTAGCAAGATAAGAATTTTTTACTGAGGACATACTCTTCTCTATTACTTATGCTCTCTGTTTATATTGACGTTTCGTTGTATAGTGTAAACGTAGGATCCATTGGAGCGGAATTTGCTTGCGAACTTCCTGGATCTAGTTGCTTTCTTGTTGAGCTCTAAAAATTTCATTTTGTTGCTAAAATGATTCGAGGCGTTGTGATACCAGCAGCTTTAGCTGGCATTGTCGGATACATAGGAATACTTGCAAAACCAAGCTCTTCATTGTTCTCATATCATCCTGCTTTCATGACTCTAGCCGTAAGTATAAAATGGTATATTTAACGTCAATGTTGCCACGTACCTAAGTCGCCACAATCCACGGCACTTACGTCTCCGGAAATCAATAGATAACAATACAGAAACCATTTGTAAACAAAACTGAACCGAACTTTTCAGCAAGATCAAAACAGCTTCACAGTTTTGACTTTTGAAGTATTTGGAAATTGGAATGATATGAAACCTAGTTCATTGAGACTAAGAAAAAATGATTGAGTAGTTCTGACCAGTAATCCAGTATTAGGTACCACCGTACCGGTACAGTTATAATTTTACTGTTACATGTTACATATAGAGTTATAGTTAATACCTAGGTACTTAGCATTTAGCAAGGCGGTTCAGTCTAACTAACTCAGTCTCAATTTTTGAAGTCATGATTGTGCTTTCACATTGCAGTATTTGCTGAGGCCTCCCGCCTCAGTGCCATCAGTGCCATGGTAGCCCTAAGTCCCTAACTGACAGTCAGAGTGGCAGTTGGCACTTCATACATATGTCATTGACATTTGACAGTATAGTTAGCAATAGGGCTGGAAAAGTCCTATTTTTGTCTGAAATATCGAGGCTCTAATATCATATAATTTCAGTAGGTTAACTAGGTATGAAATCTTGCGACTTGAATGTCATAAATTTTTGTTTGATTGAAAAATCACGGTTTGCACTTTGCAAACATGTCACTTCATAAAATTTTCAACTTCCGCAATCTGCATTGCTTTGCCGTTCCCGCCAAAATATCCTGCAGAAAAAACATAAACATCGTAATGTAAACAAATCAACTAAACGTTTTGTTGAAGACTTGAAGATCGCGCATAGTTGCGTACTTGCGTTCAACTTGCGGTCATGTCAAAGTGGTGAGACTGCATTAACACGTGCTCAACTTAACAGTAAAGACAAATTTTATTATTGCCATTTGACTGTTTTAGGGTAAAATTAGAGATTTGGGGTAACACGTGCATGCATAGTGGCAAAGCAGAGAGTTTTTTAGACTTTTCCTCAAGTTCATTTTTGAGTTCTATAAGTAGACCAGTAAAGTATCTTGGATACCAGAATTATCCTACATAAGAAATCTGTTAAAATCTTGAGTAAATGAGGAAATTAAAAATGAACTGATTCTAAAAAATCACTGGTTTGCCACTATGCATGCATGGACTCGTAAATTTGCGCCTCGTAAATGGCTTTTCATGGCCAAGATAGGGAATTCACGGCTCGGTGAAATAGAATCACGGCTCGTAGAAATGGAATCACGGCTGGCAAATCCATAAAACCACGGCTCGGAAAATTCAGTCGTGGCTCGCCAAGTAGATATATTTCATGCCTGGTTAGCAAGAGGTAAAATTTGCAATTGACCAATGTATATTGTAAATATGATTATTAGATTATAGGACTAAATGACTAATAATAGGAGCATTTTTTTCAATAAATCTGCAGACTGCAAGTTCTAGATATAATTGCATTTATAATGTATTTTTCATTATGCCTGGAAGGCCGGAAGATCTTGTGAGCATGTCGGAGTTAATTTTATGTACACCAGGTATAAAAGTCACTTTGATTTTTTACTCCACAGTCCAAACCAAGCGGCAAGCATGCTAAAAAACCAATGTACCACAGCCCAAATGTAAATTTAACTTGGAGGTACTAATTTTAATTTTTGCATTTGAGACAGAATTGGGCTTTAACATTCAATGATTACCTATGAATTTAGGAGTAATATCCTTATATTGCTACTGAATTAATTAATTCTCTAAAAATACATTTTACTTTTCCAATTTATGAATTTTTGTAGATACTGACATTTGATAAACACTTTTTAGTGCATTTTCTCAGTTATGTTAAAAAAAAAAACAATATTGTGCTTGACTGCTTGTTCTGTCCGTCCATCCATCTGCCTGTGCGTCTGTCCATGACTTCACATTTTCTTCTACGAGAAAATGCCCTCTCTGTCACTCACTGCAATGAGTACTGATCTAATTTATTTATTTCTTCAAATTATGAAGATGTGGTCATGTGGCCTGGTGGCCATGCCATAGTATTCCATATTAGGTGCTGTGATCCAGTTCATTGCGATTGCATTATAGAGTTTGAATATATTTAAATTAGTATTTTAGGCGTTCTGTGTAATTAGTGGATATATTTTACTAGAAAAACATATATTAGAGTTTGAACAGGCATATAAATACATCTGATGTCTAATTTCTTTCAGTTAGGTTCCCCAGTTACACTACAACACCAAGTCTTCCACCTAGTTCTTGCTTTTTCTTTTCAAGGGTGCAGCTGCTAGCATCTTGCCTATTCCCATGACTTAGCAGTATTCAGGGCTACTTAAATGATATCACTGCCATTCACTGCCTCCAAAAGGGCCTCAAAATGATAAAAAGACATCTAGTTTGAAAAATCCTTTCCAAAAGCTTGAAATGTTCTTCATGATAACTCATGGTTGTTGCAGTTTATTGGGATGCTAAGCAGTGCTGTGTTGCTCCTGAACCGTGACGTGAAGCTTTCACGTCGTTCTAAGACCTTCCTGCACTGGCTGCTCAATGGGCTTGCTGGGATTGCTGCAGCTGTAGGTGAGTTAGTCTATAACCATAAACCTATGTCAATAATGAATTAAATTTGTTCATGTTCACTTACATTGACAGTATTAATAATATGGACAATAATAATATAATATAAACAGATGTCTATTAATGATGGATCCAATGGAATATTCATTCATATACAAAACAAAAAATTGTACCTAATATTATTATGAAATATTGTGCATCATGGATAAAATTTGTTTAAGAATAGGTACTTGTTTGTGTTTGTTTATGCTCATTTCAATTACTCCAGGTTTTGGAAGCATTTACTACAACAAAGAGTTGAACAACAAGCCCCATTTCACATCCTGGCATGGCTTGATTGGAGCCACAGCATGTGCCCTGCTACTGAGTCAGCTCACTTTTGGAGGAATTATGAACTACCCTCAGTATGCCAAGCCGGTGTTGTCATACAGTGCACTTCGTAGATGCCATGCGATCAGCGGTACCACAGTGTATCTCCTTGGCTCTGGTGCCTTTATATTTGGCCTTTTCACTACTTGGTTCCAAAGCCAGGCTAGTGCCCTAGCCATCATTACTGTAATAGGAGCTCAAGCTCTAGTTCTTGGGTCAATTCTCCAACAGGTCTGGAAGGGACTTGGTGTTTTAAACAAATCTTGGAAGAATGTAAAGAATTGATTAACATTTTTTCTCTGTCACAATGGCATTATGCAATCCCTTCTTGAATATTTTCCAATTTTTCTGTGCTCCGGGATTATGCAAATGTTAGTATTTTTTTTAATTATCTAAGATTTCACGGGTATCAATTGTGTCCGAGTGCAGAAACAGTAGAGAAGTTATTCCTCGAGTGTTTTTATTCATTTGTTATGATATTGCAAAACGTGGTAGATACGTTCTAAAAATTTCAGTTTATGAAAACACATCCAGGTTTCGCGTTCAACAAAATCAGCTCCCTGGTGCATGATAAACATGGTAATCTATTACACAATATTGCGTATCATCTCAGAGCAATATTATACTGTTGAATATCGACAGGTATATTATTTTTCAAGTTGGTACGGATTGCTATCAGGTTTCTTTCCTGTCCTGCATGCTAACTATGGTGCCTCGAACTTCATCAATGGTTTGTTCCAAAACTTAGCTGTAAGTTCAGAAGTAATAATTTTGTTATAATTGTTGACATTTTTCTATCACGGAGCAGGTATATCTATTTTGTATGTTGTTATCACACCAAAGTTTAGTCACAATCATTATTTTTGTATGTTTCATAAATAAACTTTCCTATCCACTCAAATATTATTCGCCGAGAATATTAGGCCTAACATTTTTAATGTGGGATACACGACTTACATCTACGCCGGTAAATCAGACAAACGCAGAGAATCACGTTTTAATAAACTTTAAAAAATAACGAAAATCACTTCAATAACAAGTTCAACACAATGTAACAGCCTCATAAATATGCTAGCATTTCTATTCTGAATTTCCGACCCCCTCATAAATTTCAATGACAGACGATAGACATCACACGTTGATATGACTCAGGAAAATCACTTTAATTTGATCATTTGGCTTCTAAAGCATCTTGTCAAGTTAGAGCTAAAAAATGCCAAACTAATGAAATATACCATTCAATAACAATATAATTCACGAAGAAGACTGAAGTCGGAGATTCATAATGCAATAGTTCCCCACGCACAGGAAAAATTGCATTAGTCTTCCATTTAAGAAGTCGCTCAAATAGGACGTCGTAACATTAACCTACAGATTTGCATCAAATACACTAGAATCTGCAATTGCTTGAGAAAGCGCTCGTTAGAACTCATGTTTGAACAGAGCTTTTGAGACGTGGTAGGCTTTAGAGTCAACCCGCGTTTCGGTTTCAGTCAACTTCTTGCATCAGCGGTGCATTATTTGAGTTATTCTATTAACAATGTGGTTAAACTATTTTCACGTCAAATGGTACTTTTATACATACTCCATATCGTAACTTCAATTTAGCCCTCTCCCTTTTGGTCCCATTTTTAATGTTTGGTACAGTCATAATTATTTAGCAACATTGCTCAATATCCATGTTAAATATCTTCGTTGGATTCGCCAGCACATCAATACTTGAACACTTTAACTCATTTCATCATGCCAAAGAAATTGGTCTTTTTGTGACCTAACCCTAAAACATTGCAATGTCCGAAATGTTTTAAAATTTGTCTTAGGCAAATTAGGCTGCCTATTGTGGCTAGTTTAACGTCTTAACATCTTGCTATGTTGAATTACTCCGTGTGTTGTTTGGAGGCTCGTACATTGAGGCACTGGACTATGCCATGTGTGTATGTGTGTGAATCTTACTAATTAGTACAGATAGAGGCTTAATCTAGAACTCCATCGTGGAGCAATCAAAAAGGTCTAGGTAAGACTAGATTTTACTAACTAAAAACCCTCAACTTAGTTTTCTCTAGTGCCTCATTTGAGGGGCTAAAAACAAAAGTTAACTCACAAGAAAATCATAAATGTCAATTGACCATTGAAGAACGCCTGTTGCAAAAAACCAAACTTTGTTATCGCGTTCTTAATGGCACAAATCTCACAAATAGTCCACCACAAAAGAATACGAGACAAGACACTTAGAAGCAGCAATCAAAAAAAAAACAAACTAACTAAAAAACGGCAGAATATTATAAGATACACATTGCAAGCTCTGATAGCTGAACACTAAGAAACAAAATAGACTATGAATTATAGAGCAGAAAAAAAAGTTCATTGGTTACTACTGTTCCTGGGAGACCCATTCTTGCAAGCATTCTCTAATTCCTTCTTTAAAAGGAACATGAGCCGATATATTGAGCTCCTCAAGCCTGGAGTTATCCATGCGGCTGTCATAAGGCCGAGGTGCGCCAGGCGCCGGTTTGTTGTCAGGGGTGATGTGCGAGTGCTGCAGGGACAGCACCTCTGCTATTGCCACACACATGTCGTACTTCGTGAGCTGTTCCTGCCCGCTCCACTGGAAGATGCCATTCAGCGACGGGTTCTGGAAAATGGAGCCATTGAATAACATCACTCATATTGCCATTCAGTAGAAATAAATCAAAATGAGCTCAGGTAGTGAAAATAGTCGTGAAAGTAATAATAAATTATATCAGTATTGTCAGAAATGCTTCAGAGTCGAGAATGAGGGATACAAACAATAAGAGACTCGACTATATTAAATTTTTTCAAAGCTGCTCAAATCTACAAATAGCTAGCTCATGCATAGTTCATCATGTACATCTCTACAGGATGGGAAGTTGATTCCTCACTTATTGTTGGCCTAGTATAAACGAGATTCATTAGTTTTGATGCCTAGTAAAAGTGAGCATACAGGAAATTTTGAGGGTTGGCAAGCCATTTTAAACTATCTAACTAAATATAAAACTTTCCACTTTAAGGGAAGAAATAGAAATTTATCACATGTGATGTAAATTATTTCCTTCCACAGTCTACATCAGCCAAATACGAGCAAATATATAAATATTCTAAGTGGGAGGAAAACAGCTTGCCATTATCAATGTACAAGCAGAGTCACCTGCAGCAGCTTGGTGACCAGCTGACAGACTATGTCTGCCACGGCAGCAACGTGCATGGGGTAGCGCTTCTCGTAGTTGGACACCGTGGTGGGAGTGTCACTTGCTTGCACCGTGCGGAGCAGCGTCGTCACGGCACTCTCGTCCAGGTACTCAACAGGCCCATACAATATAGGTACGCGCAGGACAGCTGCATCTGAAAAGTATTGATAAGGCAAAAAATTATTAAAAGTCAAATACATTTTAGGACTGAAAACTCAATATGTAATAATCTATGGTAGGTACTTATACTGCAATAAAATGAAAAAATAGCTCCTGTGAAAAATATGGACCAGCTACAAACTGGCTTAATTAGATAGAAAAATAGGGACGAAATGATCAATTCCCAAGTTAAGCTCAAATTTCTGAAACAGAGCACTGCAATAAATCATTACCTGGATGTCCAGCCAGCACAGCTTTTTCACCCTCCAGTTTGGTGATACCATACTTGTTTAGAGGCTCTGGCACATCATCTACTCGGTATGGAGGATGGCTTCCATCAAATACATAGTCTGTGCTGATGTAGATTATGCGGCTTCCCACACTTCCTGTTAAATACAATAGTGCAATTATGATGAACACATTTCAATTTAAATAAATCATGATTATTACTTAATTTGCTTATGCTTAGGAATATTCTACTTATGATTAAACACACAAAAATTATTATTAGCTGTGTTGAATTGAGAGATTAAAATTTGCTAGAAATTAATAGAATCATAATTTTACACTTGGTATCCACCTATAACAAAGTGGATATCATGCAAATGATTGAAATGGATTGATTGCAGAAGTATTAAATTGAAATAAAGAAGAATTTTATTGTTTTTTTGAAGCCTGTTGGGCCTTAGGCCTATGTATATGCTGCATTGAAACAATTCTTTCATCAATTTTGGTTTTAATGGTGTTTACAAATTGTAGACTACTGTACTTCTACTGTCAAAATAGTCCATTTTCCTGTACTAAACACGTCAAACCCAGAAAAGGTGTAAAAATATTTTAATGGAATTGAAATACTTACTAGCCAGGGTTGCAAGATTTTCACTGGCAGTAACATTGAGGTTTCTTGTCTCATCATACTTATTTTCAACTTTGTCAGGAGCTCTCTCAGCAGCAGCATGAATGATGCAGTTAGGTTGTTCTCTTTCCAGCACAGCTTTGACCTGAGATGGGATGGTAATATCCACCTTCTCTAGTCCAGGTCCTGCTCTATAAATAACAATATGATGACAAAGTTTGAATGTAAACAAATAATTACAAATAAATTCAATTTATAGCCTACTACAGATAATTCAGCTATCATTCACTACCATGAAGTTATATAACAGACTTAAGCCAAAAACTAGGGCAAATAGAACAAAATATATGTTGAGGATATAAATTCAATTACTATACAGTTTATAAGATATAGTTAATTTTGACTGTCAATGCATATGAGACATGAGAACCTAGATCATTGACTTATAGTCCATATGCATGCAGAGTACCTAAATAACCTAATGATTTATGTTTACACCAAACTTGTGTTAGTTGTGTATATATCTATATTATATATAGACTATGACAATTCATCACTTCAGTATGAATGGTATGGTTCATGATCAAGATGAAGATGGGACAATAACACCATTTAGACAGCAAGCTACAATTGTCAGCAGTCCCTACAGTTATAAGATCCAATTATTGGTATTGATGAATGAAAACTTTTTTTTTAAGCTGACATTATTGAATTTATTTAAACAAATAATTTGTATACAAACTAGCCCTTCTTTTAACATAATTTGTCATTTATAATGAAAATTATTTCCTTGACAAGAAAATAAGGTTTTATCAAATCCTATACAACACAAGGTCCCTTTCATTATTGGAATACCAAATTTGCTTGATCATACAATTTAGCAAATTAGGGTGTAATGGCAAAATAAACAAATTACGGTATATATATAAGAAAGAACTGATCATCAACTATGGTACCGTAGTTATTTGAAGATAATATGGCTTATAATATACCTTTTCTACTCTAATATAATAAAAATATCTAATTTAAAAAGCATTTATATTTTAGATCAAACCCAATTTCATGATTATAGAACAACAAAATGTCATGCCTATCAAAACTATATCTTATTAGAGCCAGAATATTTCACAGAAAAAATTGAATTTTTTCAATCCTTTCAGACTCCACTCTCCAGCAGCCCAGCTACCTAGTATTGAAAAATAGCTGCAAATGGGATCCAGCAATTATCCTTTTTTTTTCCTTATTTCTTCAGTAAAAAAATAATAAAAAAACTATTTTTCCCTGTGATTTCTAAAAATCACTCATGAAATAATCATTTTTGCTAGCAATTTTGGGAAGCTTGAGAATTAAGCCCAATATCCCAAATAGGATTCCTGCTAGACAGCTAGTGCTAGATCATTAGATGAATTATTTCATATCAAATTGTTAAGGAAAGACTGGAAAGTACACAATTGGGCTGCTAAATTCATTAGAATTTAGAAATAGGTGACTAGATAACTGCAATTTTTCAGTAATAACAGCAATCCCTTGATTAGCACAGTTTGAATACCGTGTTTTTGATTAACGCGGAAAAAAAATTTGCAACCTACCCTTAATCTATGCGGTGCCAGTTTTGATTAGCGCGACTTTTTTTCACAACGCTTCATTTTCCCGCCTCTAGCTAGAGGTATTCTGTTCATAACAAAAGTGTTACTGTTTGCTTATTAGATCTTATGTTGTTACTTTTGTTACGACTTTTGGAAAAATTCACCAAATGTTGTTACTTTATGAATTTCAGCCAATAATTCTTTAAATAAGGTCCCGTTCCGTATAGGCACTCGTGCTGACTACAGAGTCAGTTTAACCGCGCCTTGTCTCGTTCATAACTCGAATGGTTGAGTTCGGCAACGTTCGCCGGTAAGTGCGCCATGCCGGTGGCCTCTAGTTATATACTTGTTAGCCTTTAACTGGTCAAGAATCAAGATCGCTGCCATATCTACTGCTCATTTTTATCAAACTACATAATTTTCCTTGATAAATTACCATCATAATAATGGACAAAAAGGGAAGAAATCTAAATCTAAGGAGAGAAAGAAATCTAATACTACTGTGCAATTGAAATTGAATTCGTTTTTCAGTAAAAAATAAATGTTAATTCATTCGCATTTCTTTTATTTAGCTATTCCCCTATTATTTAAAAAAAAATATGATGAATTTTAGTGGAAAAAAAATTATTATGTAACTTTTGCTATTTTTGAGGATTCATTATAATTATTCCCATATATTCTTAAGTTTGATTAGCACGGTTTTGCTTAACACGGTAAAACTCGGGGATTCGGATTTATTAACCGCGTTAATCAAGGGATTGCTGTAGTATGAATTTTCCCGTTTCGTTCACTCAGCCAGTCCCATGGCCGTGATTCCATGAAAAGCCTTGATTTGTTAGCTTGAACTTTGAAGCATGGCCACCCGCCACATTCACTCTGAATCACTCACATTGGGCGGCCATAACCGGTCACTGACCAGTGACCAACTGACCATTAGCCTTAGGTAAAACAATAACGAACCATTTTTAGAATATTTGAACTACCGTAGTTACCTTGAATATGCTAGTCCTGCAACTTCCCAATTCAACTGCCTGGCCGTTTTTATAATGGCTCGGCCAAGTAAACCTGAAGCACCGGTCACCAATATCTTGATATTTTGCTTCTCCATAATTATTATTGCAATAGAGGCAGTGTTTATATCGCGCACAAATGTCAAGAAGGCTATTGAACGTAGAGGCTGTAGTTACACGTGTTACAGCCGAGTCAATTTGTTACTATCAGAACTGAAAGAAGCTATGGCAGAAATAGAAATTTTACGAACTTAATCAATGCACTAAAATTACAATATAGCAAATTTTATAAAAGCTCTGTATAAAATGCCTAGCAAATTACGGACCAGGCAATAAGTCCAGCAGCTATCTCAATCAATCGTCAATTATGGAAAGATCGGGTTCCACAGGCCGGATCCCTTGTGAATCAAGTCACGAAAAGTTCAAGAATCGGCAACAGGCCATGGGCCTATTTCTTCAACGCCGACACTTCTATTCTATAATAATATTTTAACAATTTCTGCAATCTGAAAAGTGACAGTATTATCTTATCAAATCAAGTGATGTCGACGCTGATGAATAGGCTCGATGTGACCTGACGCCGATTCTTGTACTTTTCGTGAATTTTTTTTTCTTTTTTTTTTGCACAGATGATCTAAAAACAGGTTCTTTGATCGGATCTTTTGAAAACTGACGATAGTTTTAAATAGCTACCAGACTTCCACCATTTTCGATATGGGAATTGAAGGAGGCCTGGGAATTATTGCATATCGCCCCTCGACAGTATGGATTGTGGTTGATGCAAGTGATAATTTTATCTATTTTTTGTTAAAAACTTGAGTGCTTGAATACGGTAGAATTTTCAAAACGAGTACTATCTACTGCAAGGAGAAAATCACGTCTAAGAGGAAATCACGCCAATGAAGAGACCACGCCAATGAGGAGACCACGCCAACGAGAAGACTACGGCAAGAAAAAGGCCACGACCAGGACAAGCCCACTTCAAAGACAAGCCACGCCAATGACAAGCACACGCCAATGACGAGATCACACCAGGGTGGTAGAGATCGCTCTAGGAAGAAGACCATGCGATGTAGCCGGTAGGAGACTTCGCCAGGAAGGATAACCCGCCTGGAAGGATACTCCGCCAGTACGGAGACCACGCCAGGAAGAACACAACGCCATGGAAGAGACTACGTCAAAGGCACGTACCACACATAGAAGCACCTATCATGCCTGGGGGCACCTACACACGTAGAAGTGTGGTAGGTAGGTACTTTTTTGAAAGTATAGGCCAGGCCTGCCAGCAGCAGGTCGACTACGCTTGAGGGATAGCCTGTAATCCTTGGTTACCTGGCTGCCGTAACCGCTGTAGACGGTCTCGTAAATTATAGAATCAACGCAAAGATGTTAAAGTGATGTTTTTTAAAATGTTATTTTTGGATCATGAGTGTTGATCAGTGGGAGAAAAATCTTGGTTTATACACAAGTACCACCCCGGCTCAACGCCTTGCAGTAGAACAGCACTTTCATCGCTATCGCTTCCAGAAACTTCCACCATTGCGTGGCAACCGGCTGCTTTCGCAGAAGCTCAGCGCAAAACACCTACCACTTCAGACATTAAATCATCACTCAATAGCGGCAATGTAGTTATTAATCAACTCAATCCTGTTCCGGTTCTGAGCAACGGACATGACAACTGACTTTGATTTAGCAAGCGCGTTGAGAAGAGAAAACAGGCAAGTGACCTCCGAGTCAGAAAGAAGAGAAAACAGGCAAGTGACGGCCTTCCATCCAATTTTATAAGCAAATTTCAAATCAGAAGTACGTAAATAAATTTTTAACGATTTTTATAAGTAAAAAAACTCATTTCTTATTTCTTCAATGTGAGATTCAGCTGGAAGATGTGAGCTGGAAGATTCAGTCATTGGCTGCCAGAGGGTGGGAGTCAGGCGACGTGAGTAGCAGAGTAGGTTAGGCCAGATATTGTTATAAACTTGATTAGTCTTAGCATGCTTAAGCTGTAGGTGAGGACTTGCGGCGACTATAACGTTAAGCAGTGCGTCGCTGGTCTGGCTTACGCGTGTGTTCCAGCGTTGTCTGCGGTTTCTTGCACTGTGGCTTACACTAGACTGCGTAATATTGCATGGGCCCTAAAGACATGTATTTTTTATTTTTTTTTTCGACCGGGTACATTTTGGGGGACCGTAACGTTTTCAAGTACCACCTAACATTAGTACAACCTATAAGCCGTTTATAAGTTGAATTAGTCGCATTCTTTCTGAAAGAATGCAGGAATTATGTAACACAATATTTGGTAGAATTGGTTCTACCGCCACGCAAAAAGCGAATATCTTAAGAAACTTAAGACGGTCAATTTTGCATGTCCATTCTCATGCCTCGCTGCAAAACATTCCATTGCGTACATAGTTCATGATATTAAGCTCATATTTCGGATGTTGTATCGTCATTAAATTAAAAATTGGCTCTTATTTAATGGATAACTGAATTAAAGTTATAGTCAGTGATAACAATATTTACGTTCTCTCTATACAGCTTAACAACTTGTTGCCCTCTGAGAGTAATTACTCCTTCTTCATTCAAAAGCCTATTTCATTTTCCGTGCGAGTTTTTGTTGGATGATTCGCTACACTGAATCAATTAAAAATAATTCAAGAGAGTTAAATACTAAATTATTTATTTACGAAAAGTAAATCTGAGGAAACAAGAGTTGAAATTTTGGACAAGAGTTGAAATTTTGGTTATAAATGTTCAACAATCATCGACACCCTGAAAAATTTTTTTACACCCATGAACTGCACAATAATCTGAATAACGGCGCAAAAATAAAATCAAGCGTGTTGTTGAGTTAGTCAACATTGATTGGTTGTGTGTGAACCTTTGTCGTCACTGGCTTTCAATTCCAGTAATAGTGGCCCAGGCGCCGGCTGGCCCACTGATTACCTCAAACTGGGTGCATATTAGTGGCAAGCGACGCACCATTACCACTAACTGGGTGATCATTACTGGGGCCGGCCTGCGCTCCTCACAGCTCGATCTCGTCTTGCGCCACCGCCAAAAACCACCGCACCGTTCGTTCTTTGTAATAACAGACTACAGTAATTGGGTGAACCTGCCTCGGTGTTTAGATTTCAATGCATACTCGTAAATCATAGAATTCTTGAAGTGTGAACTATTAAAATGTAAGTCGTGGAAAAGTCGTGCTGGCTTCGGGCGGAGAAATAAATGTTATTTAGGTAAGAATTGAGATACAATTATTTATTATTCATACTTATTTGAGAACTTCATTAGAATGAGACCGTTCATTATTTTACGATGTGTTTATAAATATATAACAAAAAAAGATCTTTAAAATTTTAAATCTTACTTTAAATGTTCTTCATCTCATTCATAAATCGAGGTTGACAGTAATCCATATTTAAGCTTACATGGTCAGGTTGTTTATTCCTATAGAGCCTGGAATTTAAAACATTACCCCTGTTCTTTTTCGAACCTAAAACTACAAAAAAATCTGAAATATGAAACCTCGATGGTCATGAGGAGATAAAAGCGCGGGTCAACTTCTTCTCAGGAATCGAAATTTGTCATTTTTGAGACGTACAAAATCTCTCATAACTCTGGCCTCATCTCCGGTCCTATAAACCTGTCCCAGCTGCAGCGGTTAACTTGCTACTTACCGCACACAAACTCAGGACCCGAACCGCTTCAATCTGTCTCGATATTTGGATATTGAGACAAATGATGAGTTATATATCGCGGAAAACTTTGGGAGCTGTCTGCTATACCGTTACATATATATGAAAATAGTGTGAAATTACCTTTCCTCTGATAATCAAAATGGACTTGCATGACATATATGAAAATGGAATTCTCATACTTTTCAGAAAGTAATGCAGAGGCATACGAAAATGATAAGTAAGAACTATACATGCATTTTTAGACAGTATTATTGATATTAATGTTAATATCAATTATGATAAAATAATTGACAAAGGGCTTATGAAAGTAAGATAGTCAACAGAGACTATTTGTGAGAGCTCATTACATTTTAAAAATCGATTACCAGTCACGCCAAATTTAAAAGTCCTATTGAAAACATTTAATTCTCCTCCGACGATCACAGTATGTTTATAGGATGAATCTAAATTCAAATATTTATAACGCAATGAAAAAGTCTTTGCGGGAATTTAATCAGACACATAAAACTTGTGTATGACTATTAAAGTAGCAACCCGAAAAAGATAACTTAATATCAGCAGAAATATTTGTTTCATATGATAAAGTTGATAAATATTTTAGGCTGAGAAACATGGCATCACTACCTTCATGTTCATTAAACTATCATTAACGATATATGACACTAACGGGCTGCAGCATTGAGTGTCATAAATTCTTTACTGTTTCATGGCGGTGAAATGGTCGACAATAATTAAAGTTTGCTTTCCACGCAGGTCATACAAAATAAAAACAAAGAGTATCGCACCTCTACTCAACTGACTGTAGCGCCCGTATTCTGATCCGCATCCTATAACTATTTACTTATCAACCGCTCGTCTCAGGTGAAGATGTAAAACCTGAACTTTCGATGACAACTATTGACTAACGATCACAGAAGTAGGCCTGCAATCACCACGCCGGCAATCACCACAAAATTTTAAGGAGGTGCAGGTTTGGTAAGACGAAAAAGCTCACTAATCCATTGTATGCATTAGACCACTTCAAAGTTATTCTTATTAAATGACTAGTAACTGTTGATACTTTCAGCAGAAATAATGATAACAGCAAGGGAGATGCGTCCAACTCACGACGCGCCCTGCGCGGTCACCTTGTTTAAAGTAGCTCTGCCTTTGCCCCCAGAGGTTATTTTGTTCCATGTTCTTCGTACGCCTTATTTAACCTAAACAAAACGGCGCGTATTTTCTTCTCTGGCTTTGATGAGTCGTGGTGTACCAATCCTGTAACCATTGTCTCGTATTTCAGGAAATGCGACTCGAGGAAGTTGAGCCTTATATTCCGCGCCCGGCGACAAAAGGTTTCTTCGTATTATAATTTCATGATGAAACATTTTAACAAAACCAGAAATTTACGCAGCACCACGTGAGTGTCTCAAAAAGTAGCGATATATTATTTTTGCCTACGAGTATCATCGTTTGAGTCTTGTGGAATCTTGTGGCCTAAGTCGCCGTCCCACAGCGGCGCCGTGGCATCGCACGGGTGCAGAGCGAACGAAAGCCTGATGA